AAAAAAAAAAAAAAAAAAAAAAGAGAGAGAGAGAGAGTAAATAAACTATGATGATTAAAAAATACTTGCTGAATTTACTTTCACATATACACCTGAGTCCAGGGTGTGCAGAGCATTTGTAAATGAAGTGTCTGGTCTACTCCAGTGCAGAGCTGCTGAGAGGCAGTCCGTTCTTTGCCAGTCACACTTAGGTTCGTTTGTTTAGAGTATTGAGTACCTGTCACACTGGTGATGTATGTGTCAAGTGAAAATTTAGAATTATTGTGGTCTTTGAGAATATGGAGAGAAGAATGCGCATGTCAGAAAATTACAAAGTAGAATTCCCTTTCTGTTAGTGGGGTTTGGGCCTGTTCTGAAATAAAGTCAGAACGCATGTGGGAGAGTCACACCTATTAGAGGTTGTGTTCCTTCTACTCTGTCTTGTATTGGATAAGGTAGTTGTTTTTATTTCGCATTACTTTGTGAGATTTCCATTTTGAGATCAGATGTGCTGTCCTTTGAGAAGCTAGTCTGCCTAGCTGGGGTGATTGGTGTGCTGCAAAGTGGCCTAGTGTTTTCCTGAATGGTGTACTCTGCCATGTGGCAGCTTAGTGAGTCACCTCTACAGATTTGTAATGGGGAAGGAAGCTGAGCAGGAAAGGGTATGCTTGATCATCTCCACAGAGACAGTGTGGGTTGTTGGGTTGTGGTCTGTGTTGTTTCTCTAGTTCATTTTAGCCTAGGAGCTAACTTTAAAAGACATTAGTCTTCAGGTGCTGTATTTCACAGTATCAGATTTGGTGGCAGCTAACTTCTGAAGATACATTAGGACAAAATGGGCATTTTCTGGGCATCAGAATCTCGTAAGAAGAGGTCATTAAGATATAAATCTGAAAGCCTCCACTCGGCTGGGCCTGGTGTGTTTAAACCTGTTATCACAGACTGTAGTCACTAGCCAGATAAGACTATATTGTTATGGTTTTTTGTTTGTTTGTTTGTTTGTTTGTTTGTTTACGACAGGGTCTCCCTGTGTAGCCCTGACTGGCCTGGCTGGCACTTGGTCTGTAGACCAGGCTAGCTTTGAACTCACAGAGATCCACCTGCCTCTGCGTCCCAAGTTCTGGGATTAAAGGCATGAGCCACTATGCTCAGCTTCTCCTGACTATCTTAATTAAAATTAATGAAATTAAAAGTTGAGTCCTGGCAGGCAGTGGTGACACACATCTTTAATCCCAGCATAGGAGGCAGAGGCAGGCAGATCTCTGTGAGTTCAAAGCCAGCCTGGTCTACAGAGCTGAGTTCCAGGACAGCCAAAGCTACATAGAGAAACCTTGTCTCAACCACGCCACCCCCCCCCCAAAAAAAAAGTTCAGTCCTTTAATCCCATTAGGCACATTTCAAGAGCTTGGTGGTCACATGTGACTAGTTACTACAGTATTGGAAAACGAGAGAGAGAATATTTTATTATTTTAGGCACTGTTGGTCTGAGTGGGAGAATTTAGGAAATAGCCAGGTACAGTGGAGCACACCTTTAATCCCAGCGTTCAGTAGACAGAGGCATGCCAGTCTCTGGCTCTATGTCACAAGTGCCAGGACAACGAGGGCTGCTAATGAAATGAGATTCTGCCTTTGGGCAAGTGAGAAGGGCTTTGGAAAATAAAATTCTTTCCGGTTTCTGAGTTCTTCATCGTAATTTGTTGGGTTAATGCAATGTTTATGTGTGAGAGACTTATCTCTGGAGTTTGTCTAAAATGGATATTTTGGCCATCTGCAGATTCCGACTCATCAGGTATGACATAGTAGGTGGGTGGGAGCCTGAGGAGATCTGATGCTGGTGGAGCTCAAGGACTGGTTTGAGAAACAGAAACATGCCGTTCCTGCTGCTTCTATGTTCCAGTAGCTGGTTTGAGAATATCGTGGGCAGATCCAGCTTGCACTGTCATGTGTTGAGTAGCATCTAACCCTTTCATCTCTTCATCAATATGTGTGTTGTGATTTGTCTGTGCCCCAGAAATGCTTATTTCGGACTGTTTCAAACTGGGAGAGTAATTCCTTCCCCTACTAGTGTTGAGGATTAACCATGTGCTCTGTCAGAGCTATATCCCCAGCCCCCGAGAAAGTTATTCTGATAATACTGGTCAAGCTATAATTGAACACTCAGGTCTTTGCCTTGTAACACAGGAACTCTTCTCTAGAGATTATGTCTCACCAAAATAAACAAACACATCTAGAGAAGTTACTTAACGGGTGCAAAGCTATAAATCAGTAGGAAATAATGAGAATAAGAATGAATAATGATTAGAAAGTAATGCAGTAGAAGCTAGTACTCACAGAGAAATCATTATCTTGATTAGGATAGTATAGATGACTTTCCTTTTTTGATTTGAGGAGTTTTTTCTTATTTATTTATTTTGGCATGTTTCATTTTTCCCATTGATCAGTAGTTAGTAAATCAGCCAACGTTAAAAAATAGAATAACATAAAAACAGAAACAAACAAAACAAAAAACAAAATCTTTTAGCCAGGCAGTGGTGGTGCACACCTGTAATCCTAGCACTGGGAGGCAGAGACAGGTGGATCTGTGAGTTCGAGGACAGCCTGGTCTACATAGTGAATTCCTGGACATCCAGAGCTACATAATAGTGAGACCCTGTCTCATAAATAAATAACTTTTAAGAATTTAGATAACTGCCTTTAGGACTTTGTTTTTCAAGACAGGGTTTCTCTGTGTAGCCCTAGCTGTCCTGGAACTCACTTTGTAGACCAGGCAGACCTCAGATTCACAGAGATCCACCTGCCTCTGCTTCTTGAGTGCTGGGACTAAAGGTGTGCACCACCCCTTAGCACCTTTAGGATGTTTTTAATCCTGGGAAAATTTAAGGTTTCCAAAGAATAATACATTTTAAAAATATTTGTTCATCTTAATCCCCTTGGATAAATTGCCTACTATATTTCCCTTATGAAGAATATTAAAAAGCCAGACATAGTGGTGCACACCAGTGATCCCAGAAGTAGGGGTACAGAGAAGGAAATCTCTGTGAGTTCCAGGCCAGCCGGGGCAACATAGTGAGACCCTATCTCAAAACACAGGCAGAAGGATTGCTACCAGTTTGAGCCAGCCTGGGCTACAAATTAAGTCGGTATCAAAACCAAAGGGAAGCAAGCTTGCCTCTGTTTTCTTATTTGTTTTGACTGGGTGGTTAGCTTGAAAACTGCTGTCCCAATAGCCACACCACCTCTTGTCCTATCAGATTTATTTGTCTACTTACTTTTCAGTAAAGACAGTGAGAGTTTTGTGATTCTCTCTACAGAATGTATCCTCTTTAGAAAGGCTAGCTTCTAAAATTGAGGCTGGGGCGCTGCCTCATTAGTTGTCATTTGACTTTCTTTTTCTTATCTTTTCCTGATTCTGCACCTCTGCTTTGAAATACACTGAAATTGACCTAAGGTTGTCGGGTTGGTTTGGAGACTTTTGTCTCTCTCCTGGTGGTACTTGAAATATCAGTTTCTGCTTTCAAAAGAACAAATTTTGAATTTAAAAATAAGTCTTGCACAGATATGCCAATTACAACTCCTTTTTTTCTAGGAAAATATTTTGCTGAAATTCTGCCTTTTTTTTTTTCCTTTTGGGGGGCAGATTAAGAGAGTGGCGACTGCTCTAAAACATGGATAGATGCAAACATGTAGGGCGGTTACGGCTCGCCCAGGACCACTCCATCCTAAACCCTCAGAAGTGGTGCTGTCTGGAGTGCTCCACCACGGAGTCTGCGTGGGCCTGCCTCAAGTGTTCCCACGTGGCCTGCGGCCGCTACATTGAAAACCATGCACTGAAACACTTTGAAGAGACCGGACACCCGCTGGCCATGGAGGTCCGGGATCTCTACGTGTTCTGCTACCTGTGCAAGGATTACGTGCTCAATGACAACCCCGAGGGGGACCTGAAGCTGCTGAGAAGCTCCCTCCTGGCGGTGCAAGGCCAAAAGCAGGACCAGCCCGCGAGGCGTGGGCGGATGCTACGGTCTACAGCTGCAGGCGAGGACGTGGTCCCACAGCAGCGCACTTCTCAGGGACAACCACAGATGCTCACGGCTCTGTGGTACAGGCGCCAGCGCTTGCTGGCCAAGACGCTGCGACTGTGGTTCGAGAAGAGCTCCAGGGGCCGAGCGCAGCTGGAGCAGCGGCGGCGGGAGGAGGCGCTGGAGCGCAAGAAAGAGGAGGCCCGGCGGCGGAGGCGCGAGGTCAAGCGGCGACTGCTGGAGGAGTTGGCCAGCGCGCCGCCGCGGAAGAGTGCGCGCCTGCTCCTGCACGCGCCTGGGCCTGTGGCCGTGCGCCCTGCTACCCTCGCTACCTCCCGGCGCGCGCCCGCGGCTACACTTAAGCCGCGCCGGCAGCCGGCGGTGGCCCCAGGTGTCACTGGCCTACGCAATCTGGGCAACACCTGCTACATGAACTCCATCCTCCAGGTGCTTAGCCACCTCCAGAAATTCCGGGAATGCTTCCTGAACCTCGACCCTTCCACCTCTGAGCACCTGTTTCCCCAAGCAACCAACGGGAAGGCTCAGCTCTCTGGTAGGCCAGCCAGCAGCTCTGCCGCAGAGTTATCAGTAAAGAGCCACCCTGCCCAGGGATACGAACCTCAAGGCTTCTGCTGGAACAGTGGAGCCTCGATCAGCAGAAGCCTGGAGCTCATTCAGAACAAGGAACCCAGTACAAAGCACATTTCCCTCTGCCACGAATTGCACACCCTCTTCCGAGTCATGTGGTCTGGGAAGTGGGCACTGGTATCGCCCTTTGCCATGCTTCACTCAGTGTGGAGCCTCATTCCCGCCTTCCGTGGCTACGACCAGCAGGACGCACAGGAATTTCTCTGCGAACTGCTGCACAAGGTGCAGCAGGAACTTGAGTCTGAGGGCTCCACGCGCCGGATCCTCATCCCCTTCTCCCAGAGGAAGCTCACCAAACAGGTCTTAAAGGTGGTGAACACCATATTTCACGGGCAGCTGCTCAGTCAGGTAGGTGTGTACCTACCTGAAGCAAGGTGGGAAGTTTGGGTGGTAGTTGGGCTTCCAGATCCCTGGGCTAACTAATTAGTATAGCCAGTATTTTTGAGACTTTGCATGTTTCAAAATGGTTGTTTGTACCTGACACTGTATGCTGGTGATGATGAAGGTGAATTTGAGGTTCTGTATGTCTTGATCTTTAGTCCAGTTTATAAAACTGAACAATTTGTGTAGAAAACTGTTTCCAAAGTCGTTTGAAAGAGCCTTTCCTTTTAAGTAGTAATTGGAACTATGCCAAAGGCCAAGTAAGCCTCCTTCCCGCTGCCCATAACCACCCCAAATATATGGTCCCCAGTAGCTCAGTGTGTTTTAACTATGCAGCTGAGGTTATTAAACTTCTGGTCCTCCTGACTCCATCTCTCAGTGCTGGATTATAGACTTCATGTCCTTATTATCTTTCATTTTCAGGATCAAGACCATGTCAAGACTTAAGCAAAGATTCCCAGGCCTAATAAAAATATGCACAAAAAGAATTATTATAGATTTTTAAAAATAAAGGGTGGACAACGTAAGGAGAATTGGGTAAAGCCTCTCCACTGAGTTACAGAGGTCTTGTGCCTCACTTGTTAAGATTTTGGGAAGTATGATGAGTAGTCTAGGAAGGGAAACGGAGGGCTTTCTCCTTCCTTTCTGCATGTGAAATGGCATCTGGGAATATTATGGTATAAGAGCAAGTCTGACCACAGCATTCTGAGGTGCAGCAGATGGGACATTGTAGGAAATGGGTAGTCACCACCGCAGCACTTGAGAGGCTGAAGTAAGAGAAACCAGAATTCAAGGCCAGCTGGGCTATATAATGAGTTCTAGTGAGATTTTCTGTTAAAGGAAAATAAGAATGAGGGGAGTATGGGAGAAAGGGAAGGAAGGAAGGTAGAAGAGGTAAATTTGCTCCCTGGAAGGACCAAGTGAGAAGAATTTGTGGGTTCACAAAGCAGACAGTGGCCTGCCAGTTCTCTTAGCCCAACGAATGCCTCCGAGGTAACTTGCTGTCTCCACTGAGGCAGCATTCATTGGGAGAGAAGGGGAAAAGCAGGGGTGCCCTGTGGCTCCTCAGTTACAGCATGGTTAGAAATGCAGCTGTGCACAATATGTCCCGATGCTTTTACTACAGTTATTTAAGTTCTTATTAACCTTTTTGGGAGAAGTGGTTGGTGATTTTATGTCTTCTTTACAACAAGCAAAATTGTATGTGGGAAGCATGGAAACTATATAATCTGCAAACCAATCTTGTCATTCTAGGTTACATGTGTATCATGCAATTATAAATCCAATACCATTGAGCCCTTTTGGGATCTGTCCCTGGAATTCCCTGAACGCTACCACTGCATAGAAAAGGGGTTTGTCCCTTTGAATCAGACAGAGTGCCTGCTCACTGAGATGCTGGCCAAGTTTACCGAGACAGAGGCCCTGGAGGGAAGAATCTACGCTTGTGACCAGTGTAACAGTGAGTGCTGCATGGAGAGGGCGGGGATTGCAACTGGAATACAATCTAAGGAGCTGCTTTTGACCCTTTAATCAAAAGAAATGTGGAGACACTAAGTGGGTCTAAACCATCTTTTAAAGATATTTTTATGTCTCTATAAAAAACTAAGATGGACTTTACATATTAAAAACAGACCTGGGCCAGTGAGATGGCCCAGTGAGTAAAGGTTCTTTTACACAAGTCTGGTGACCTGAAATTCAGTCCTTAGAACCCAGAGAGGTAGCTAGAGAGAACAGATTGCCATAGCACACACACCTATGTACACACACTTTAACACTGAAAACAATGGCCTAAGATAAGAATTGTGCCTCCTTTGACCCTTCTGACTGATAAGTGTATGAATGTGGTTTCTGAAACAGGCTGTGGGAGCATTAGTACTTAGCTTCATAATACTGTGGGGTCCCAGGCTCACACATGTAGTCTGATAGTTCTTATTTAGCCTAAATTCAGGTGGCATACCCCATTTGAGTGCTGTAGGATAAAAAAGTATGTTTTTGTACTGAGTCTGTGTCATTGGTTTAATTTAAATTTCTGTGTGGTTACATGGACATGTGCAGGTCCTTCTCTGTCATTATATTCACACCTAGTGCTTCTGCTGGCCCAGCATGCATAGATAGACGTGCACTGCAAATGTATGGGTGCTTGTGTCTGGTGATGGTATTTAAAGATTGGCTTGTTTTTATGTGTGTATTTCCCTATGCACCATGTGACCATTTGAAGTCAGAAGAGGGCTTCAAATCTGCTAGAACTGGCTTTGAGCAGCCATGTGGGCCTTGGGAACCAGACCTGAGTTGTCTTGCAGAAGCAGCCAGTACTCTGATGCTGAGCAATGTCTCCAACCCTGGTGTCGGATTTTATGACCTAATAAAGATTTAGAAATGAAAAATACAAAGTTATGTAATTTATGTATTAACACAATTGTTAATCCCACCAATTGAGAATAAGACCACTACCACAGTTTAAAGCCAAATTTGAAGCAATTTTTAATTAAGTAATGGCCAGGTGGGTGGGCTCTGGCCAAATCCATAACCAGGTTCCTGGGAAACAGCCAAGAATCACAGTTTGCAGTGGCTTAAGAAGGAAAACTCACAATTCATGGCATTCCCCATCAGGTCCAATCAGGGGCAAGCATATATACTGACATATTTCCTGCCTGCGAACCCCTGCCCCCCATGTTACCAAGCACATCCGGTGCAGACAGGTCAAACAAGGGGAATGAAGAACAAGTGTTGTCGTCTCCCATGAACAACAGCCCCCAGTGTTTAAGGAACTGTCTGTCCTTGAGCAAGGGGCTTGCAGACCAGAGGCATTTTTTATTTCGAGGATCTCTTAGGCATAGTAATTAAAATTTAAAATGTAACTTTGGCTCTCACACAATGACCTGGTATCAGTTTATTACTTTATATTAATTGTTTGGAGTATATGCTGGGTTTGGGGGGGCATTTTCTATGTTTTTGCTTTGTTTCTTTGTTTGTTTAATACTGGGTTTCTCTATTGTATAGCCCTGGCTGTCCTGGAACTCCACTATGTAGATTAGGCTGGCCTCAAACTCAGAGATCTGCCTTCCTCTGCCTCCTGAGTGCTGGGATCAAAGGCATGGACCACCACACCTGGCCAAAGCTTTTTACCTGTAAGAAACAGAGGGGCATTAACAACTTTGTATCATTTTTGGATGTGACAGATTAGGTAGGAAATACTCAGTTTTTTTCAGGAAGTAATTTTTTTTTTCTGGATTAGTCAGGCCTTCTCTATGCTCTATGCCCTGCTAATGCAGAAAAAAGGCCCAGCAGGCATAAACTGCATTGGTGTGGTGCTTGTGAAACTTAAGGAATGTCTCTCTTCTTCCTCTCTGTGTCTTGTCTTAACTAAACGGAGACAGAGCTGGTCCATCTCAGCTGGGTCAGCAATTTCTTCTCTGTGTGAACTTTCATTGAGGGAAACAGACAGTCCACCTCGTTTTCATCTTAGCTCATGTACTCCCTCTGCTGTGGACTGTGGTCACTGCCAGCTAGTCCTCAAAGGCTGATGAGCAGGAGTGGAAAAGTTGGGCAAAGCCCTTCTCTGGGTGCTTCTTTGCATATTCCACATGTCATGACTGCATGGCTGGTCAAAGTTCTGTAGCAACACATGCACTCTGCTGCAGTCTGCCCTGAGCAGCTAGCCCTCCCTTCATGCCTTGTTGTCACAGAGGGCTGTTTTCACAAGTGCCACAAACAGGACTTGAAATCAGATGCCATGCTTTCTACTCTGAGCCCTGAGAGCAACAGCTTAGAGACAAGCAGCTGGACCACCTCTAAGTGATCAGTAAAGTGCTTACAGAGGTCTCCAGTTGAAACACAGAAGGTTTTATTCGCATTGTCTATTTTCTAAGGATTTAAGGCTCCATTTCACTCACAAGTCTATAGTTTAGAAACAAAATTAGAGTCAGCATTTGTTCTTTTGGTTTAGACCAGTGGTTCTCAACCTTCATAACGCTGCAACCTTTTAATACAGCTCCTCATATTGTGGTGACCCCACCAATAAAATTATTTTCATTTCTACCTCATAACTGTAATTTTGCTATTATAATGTAAACACCTGTGTTTTCCAATGGTCTTTGGCAACCCCTGTGACAAAAGGATCATTTGACCCCTTTGGGGTCATCACCCAGAGGTTGGGAACCACTGGACCAGATGAAGCTGGCTACCTTCCCACCTTGTCTATAAGAAACACACTTCAGGGGCTGGAGAAATGGCTGCTCTTCCAGCGGTCTGGAGTTCAATTCCCAGAACCCACATGGTGGCTCACAACCAACTATAATGAGATCTGTATGCCCTCTCTTGGCATACAGGCATACATGCAAATAGAACACTGTATATATAATAAATAACTCTAAAAAAAGAGAAAGAAACACATTTCAGCCAGGCAATGGTGGCACATGCATTTAACCCCAGCATTCAGGCGGATCTTTGAGTTTGAGGCCAGCCTGGTCTATAGAGTAAGTTGCCAGAACAGGGAGGCTAAGAGGGTACGGGGTGTGAGAGACAAAGAAAGAGAAATATATTTTAAATCTGTGGCATAAAAACACAGAACTACTGCCCTAGTTAGCTTTCTGTTGCTGTGATAAACAACATTATCAACAGCAACTTGGGGAGGAAAGGGTTTATTTTAGCCTATAGGTTATATGCGGTTCATCAAGGGGAGTCAAGGAAGGAACTCAAGGTAAGAGTTTGGAGCAGAAACCCTGGGGGAAAGCTACTTCCTGGCTTTCTTCCAAGCTCCAATCAGCTACCTTTCTTATGCCATCTAGGCCCAGTTGCCCATCAGTAGTGCACCCACAGTGGGCTATACTCTCCTATGTCCATCTACAATCAAGGAAATCCCACACATACATGCTCACAGGCCAATCTGATGTAACCAGTTCTTCAATTAGGACCCCTCTTTCCAGGTGTATCAAGGTGACAACTAAAATTAGCCATCACAACTACCAAAGTTTATTTTTTTTAAAGTTTATGTATAACATAAACAAAACATGTTGGGAAAAAAACTGCTTTCATATTCTGTCCTTTAGTAATGATAATTTATCATCTTTTTTAAGCGTTAAATATATGTAACATTCAAAAAATATACCTCCTCGTGAGGGAGCTGAGGCTCAGAGTTTAATTATAAGGAGGAAGTTCAGCTAGGCCTGTCTGTGAAAAGAAAAAGCTCTTTAAACATAAAGTGAATGATAATTTAAGTGATAGGGATGTAAAAGCATAGAACCCTGGTGTTCAACTCTGTGTTCACTGTGGTAGCAGCCGTCTATTGTATTCCAAGAAAGTCATGACACCTGAAATATACTACCCAGCACCCATATCACCTCTGGAAGCTGCTGGTGGCAAAAATTTAAAAGCAGATGTATCAGGATCAGGTTTGGCTGCTTTTAAAAGCCCAATAACAGTGACTGTCATATAAAAGAATCTGGAGGACATCCCAAGGCTAACATGTGGCTGCACAGACATCAAGGAATGCAGGATCCTATTGTTTCACTATCGGGGTTTAAAGCTCCTATCCTCAAAGTTAACTCAGGGTCCCATCACCCTTTTCATCTTAGCCACAACTTCAGAGCCACTGCATTTGGGCCTGTGAAGCTGGGAAATGCAGACATATTTGGGATGTGTCACATTACTACCATAAATAAAACTAAGGAGAAAGTCTATTGAGTGGCCAGTGACTGTGGTTGATGCTCCTCACTTCCTATGTCTTATACCTTTCCAAACCATATAGGCAAACGACGAAAATCTAACCCCAAACCCCTTGTTCTGAGTGAAGCCAGAAAGCAGTTAATGATCTACAGACTACCTCAGGTCCTCCGGCTGCACCTTAAAAGATTCAGGTGAGCTTTTGGATGAGCTGCCTCGAGGGCTTGGGAAGGACAGGTGTCTTTTTTTTTGGTATGAGAAGGAGAAGCCTGTTTCTGTGGCACCTTGCAATTGCTGTGGAGAGTCAATGGTTCTTGTCCAGTAAGAAAAGCTGATGTTGGAGCCAGCAGCCTGGGGTTCAGCCCTCTTGCCTTGTTTCATTTCTAGCTTGCACCCAGTGTCTGCCAATCCTCTCCTAGCCTTGTTTGGGCTTACACAGATTCATCCCAAGGATTCAGTTTAAAATAACAATGAAAGGGGCAAGTAACAGACTATACAAAGGCCATGCATCAACTGTTTCTTTCTTAGGTTTTTTTCAAAACAGGGCTTCTCTGTAGCTTTGGAGCCTGTCCTAGAACTCACTCTGTAGATCAGGCTGGCCTCAAAGTCACAGAGATCCTACCACCTCTGCCTCCCAAGTGTTGGGATTAAAGGTGTGTGCCACCGTTACCCAGCTCTGAACCGTTCTTCAGGGGTTTGTAGGTTCAAATACTCCATGGAACTGTCACAGCAGATATGAACATGGATTAGTGGGGGGGGGGGGGCAAAAGGAGAAACAAAAGTTATTTTCCTAGCTTCTTGTTTAACTAGTTTAATGAGTAAGAAATTCATTCCATGTTATAGGTGGTCTGGCCGTAATCATCGTGAGAAGATTGGGGTCCATGTCGTCTTTGACCAGGTATTAACCATGGAACCTTACTGCTGCAGGGACATGCTCTCCTCTCTTGACAAAGAGACCTTTGCCTATGATCTCTCCGCAGTGGTCATGCATCACGGGAAAGGGTTTGGCTCAGGACACTACACAGCCTATTGCTACAACACAGAGGGAGGTGCGTGCGCTTTACTCTGTAGGGTCGGGGACGTGGAAAAGGGTTGGTTTGTTCACACTGTATTGCTTTGCATTATTTCCATCCCCCTGGGTCAGCTAGGGACAAATTAGATACATTAAGATTCAGTGAGAAGCTTAATGAAAGTTGGGGGTTTGGTAAGGATATAAGGTTATGCTTAGGAATGAACAGAACTAACCATATCTAAGTACTTAGATCTAGCGCTGGAGGTTAGTACAGTATCATCAGTAGTATTAATTACTGATGGAATTTCTGCAGACCTCAGCTTCCTTCTTGGTCATGCAAAAAGAATGGGGCTTTTTAACTTCACGGTGATATGTTACAAATCTCTAGTCCCACTCAAATGACTCTGAGGACATTTGGGACACTGTGGAGACAATAAAAAAAGATAAGGAAACAAGGACAAAATTGGTCCATCAGTACCGAAGACAAGAGTCTTTTTGGTGATAGTGGGGTGACCCTGCCTCCTCACCAGTAATCAGAAGGTGGCTCTGTCCCCCGCATTCTCTCCCCATCTCCTGGCAGCAACTGTCTAGAGATGTAAACTAGCTTGTCATTTTCTCTTTCTCTTTTGGTTTCCTAGGTTTTTGGGTCCACTGCAATGACTCAAAGCTGGATGTATGCAGTGTCGAGGACGTGTGCAAAACCCAGGCCTACATCCTTTTTTACACTCGAAGAACAGTTCAGGGCAGTGCAAGACTCTCAGAAACCCAACTCCGAGCTCAGGTGCAGTCCAGCAGCAAGGACGAAGGCAGAACATACACGCTCCCCTGACTGGGAGGCATGCATTAAAATGCCCTTACCTTTTTCCTCATGGGTAATAAGGCTTGCACAGTAACAGATCACTGGGCTTGCCTCTCTAGGCCTAAAGGAGAGAATGCCAGGTGATTCCTGTCCTGTCAAAAAATTGGTAGTCACTTTTGAAAACATTTGAAAATTCCCTCCTTTCATAAAACAAATCTAAAGGAGTAACTTCTATGAAGATTCTTTTGTCAGTTGCTTCTGGATAATTGAAGGACCTGGAGGGGGGTGGGCAAGTGATCGCCCAGCCAGGAGAGCAGCCATGTCTGTCTTCTCTCTGTCATGAGCCCCCTACTAATCAGGATCTTTCTGCAGCACTTCACAGAGCACATGAGGAGGGGCCCAGGGCTGGCAGCTGGTGGGAAAGATTGGTTCCAAAGTGGAAGGTAACGCCACAGGATTTATCTCATAGAAGAGGTGACCATCAAGGGAGTGAGGGGCATGGAGCAGATCTCCCTGTGCCAAATAGGAAGGCTTTTGAGAGCTAGGCTTCTCCTGAGCTGCCGTCATCTCGCTCGCACTGACTGGGAGACGGGGCCTAGCAGCCCTTTCCCTTTGAAGAGGCAGTCATAGGAGGCACAGACCAGCGCATGGTCGGTCTGCGCATGTTAAGCCGGACACTCCTGACTCCTCCAGTCCTGTAGCAGGACCCTGGCTCAGGTCTGGAACCAGCTCGTGGTTTGGGTCAGTGGTCAGAAGCCTTCTCAGAATTTGGGAAGGCGAGTGGGGATTGTCCCAGTGCCTGCTGCCCTAGGGTCTCACCTTGTGTGCTATGTAGCTTCTCTCCTGCACCTACACCATTGGTGCTCACAAGGTTTGGAGCTTTCGCTTCCCTAGGAACTGACCGTGTGTCCAGCTCTTGGCTGTGGCCTTTCATGTTCTCTTCCCACTCTGCTACCCATTCTCTCCTGCCCTCAGTCCATGAAGGAGAGAGACTCTTTGTCTTTTACTCTGCTATTAGTAAAAACACATCTTTAAAATTTGCTCCATTTCTAAATGGAGTCAAATGCCCAGACAGAAGTACAGTAAACTCTCATTCTCTCTGCAGTGACCTGTGCAGTACCCACAGCCTCTCCTGTGAATAAGTAGCGTGTGTTAATGTAGTACAGTTGTCACTTGAAGGGAGTTGAAGGGGTGGGGCACAGAGACAGTGAGGCTAAAGGAGGCACTGTTCCATTTCCCAGGCACACCGTAGTATTTACTGCTGCCCTCATTGGAGATGACCTCTTGTAGGCCTGCCAGACATCACTGAGACATGGAAGAAATCAGACAGAAAACAGCTCCCTGACAGGGATGGTGGCTAGATTTAAACTTGCTTTTTTACAACACTGTGAGGTTTCTGTATTAGCTTTTATTTGGAAGCGATAATGTATGGCATTTTTGTGCTGTTTGGTTTTTACTGTCTACTGCAGGCTTTTTTGTGAGCTTTGCACGGCCTCCTCCTCTCCAGGACACTGTTTTAAAGTGTCCCAGTTGTCCACGCTGCCTGAGGTTCTGATAGAAAGCTGTACCCTGAGGTCCACATTACCAAGGTACATGATAGTGATTTGTTACCATGGTAGCAAAGCCCATTCAAAAACAAAGCTCGGTGTGCTGGTACACCCCTGGAAGGATGGCACTTGCTTGGGTGAGGCAAGAGGATTATGAGTTTGAGGCTACATTGTGAGACCTTGTCTGAAAAATGAAAATAACAAACTATTGGGAGTAAAAAAGGAAACAAGACTGGATTGCACCTCATCTTAAACCCTGTGTTATTTGTTCCAGAAAGAGAACTTGCAGGCAGAGAATACAGATCTGACTGTTTAGAGGGGAAAACATTAATCAGTATAAACACTTAAAGGAAAATTAGAAGGTTCTAATTCAATTTTAAAAAAAAGTTTTATATCAACTATCAGCAAGACCAGTAAGCAGAATGGGGACTTTATGTTTAGCTGACCTGAACACCCATATATGAGATTAATGAGTTAAAATGAGTTCTAACTAAAACTAGCTGTCTCCACTGAGCCACCCTCATCAAGGTGCCACCGCAACCACAGACAGCACTTCAGGCAGCAGGAGCAGTAGCATGAATCTGTTGTAGAAGCACTGTGCACTGTCTGGGCTGCTGTGCTGTGCTGTGCTCTCTCTGCTGCCTGCAGTGGCATCACACTGAAACATTCTGAAGAGAACAGATAGACTTTGACTAGCTGGTCCCAGGCCAAATGCCAGGTGCTGCTCTGCCAGCAGCAGTCTCTCTCTCTCTCTCTGAACCCTTTGTAATCGGCTGGTGTGTTTACTTACCACTGTAGCCAGCCAAGATGAATACACCCCAGCCCTCAAAAATGATTTCTTACCTCAGTCTAGCCTGGCCCTCATGCTTGTGGTTGCCTCTAAGAACAGCACCCATGCTAGTGCAGAAGTAGCAGGGATACCCGTGGCAGCCAGAAACTGCAGCTCTCATCAAACGGCAGGCAGAGCTCTTGCCCGCTTTACCAGCTTTAACCAGCCCCTCTGGCTGAAATGGGAGGGCAGTGCCACATGGTAAAGAACTTCTAGATGTCTCTAAAAATGCCATGAATAAAGCTGTAAACTGTAGAAGTGTTCGTGTGTCCTATGGACTCGATAGCAGAGTTTATTTTTGTTCACGATGGCAAGGCTTCTAGAGTCCATGGTCGTGTGAGTCCCCCTGCTCTGGTTATGCCTTCAGCTTCATCCACATTCAGGGGACAAACCAATGCGGTGGGCTGGCTGGCAGTGCTCCGGAGTGCTGAGAGGTCGACAGTAGTGCAGAATGAAAACATGGTGGCGGGGGCGGGGGGGCATTTGTTTTACTGATAAAGCTTTGTGAACTAATTTTATACAATTCATAAAATTTGGTGCCTTGTTCTTAATTACAGTTTGCATGAGATTGAAAAGTTAAGGGGAAGGGTTCCTTTTTGTTATGTCAAGTGGCAGGTGGATCTGTAGTGTTTAAAGGGTATGTGCTATCAGATTTTATAGAACATTGTTATCTCCTGTGTATGAATGCAAATTGTCCTTACCAGCAAGTTCTTGAGTTCCAGTGTCCATAATTGTATTTATAATCTTCCATCAGATAGCTGTCTTTCAAGACAGCCAACATACATTACTGATGTTCATTGCCTCTTGTATATGCTGAACATTAATGCTGACCTTTTCTGGAAAGTGACCCTTTCCTGAATGTGTACCACATCCCTATCTGGGGTTGCAGCTTATGTGTGGAAGGGTTTCCAGCTAGTTGGGAGAGCCAAATGATCAGAAGTTAGGCAATCAATGGCAGTGGAATCTTCAACAATTCTGGAGTCCTTCTGCACAAACCATCAGGAAGCAGTGTAGGAAACAATCCCCCCACATGTGAACCTTTAGATTGTACAACAAACCAGTACACTGTGTAATATGCAGAGTGAGTGATGCAAAAATGATGTCCCTGACACCACCACTCTCAGGACTTCCTGAGCAGATGCAGCTGTGATGGTGCTAAGTGACTGGAAGGTTAGCAAGACTCGGGCTGTTCACAGCCTGTCTTTCACTCCAGCCCAAGGGTTTCCGCTGAGCTCGTGAGACTTCCCCAACGGTGTTGACAGGCTCGCCATTCAAAGCGCATTTGGTACTGGGTCTCTCAGCTCAGTTCCTAACTGGGACTAATTAGGTAAAGAGTGCATCTTTGGGGTGAAATTTTCCAGGGTCAATTGGTTTTTACCAGCTAAGAGTGGTGGTAAAACTCCTTCTCAGGGTTGTGCATGTCATCTCTTCCACATTCCTGTCTGCTCTCAGTCCAGGATTATCCTTTAACCGCCATTTACTTGTCAACTCACACATGGCTCTAACCACACCACAGCTTAGTAGCTATGGGCAAGCGGTCACTTTTGCTAACTCTGTCCATACTTATGCTGGCATGTTTCTTTTAAAATACAACAGCTGCTGACGAAATAGCTCACTGCTACGGCACTTAGCTAGCATGCCTAAGACAATGGGTTCCAGGTCACGTAAACCAGTTCAAACAAACTGCCAAACCAGCATTATGACTTCAAAAAGCAAGAGTAAAGTTACTTGAGATTATATCTTAAATTTGGAATGAAAAAAAAACTATATTTTTAAAAGCTATGTCTTAATTCTATCTAGATTCTGATTTTCAAAATAGATTTTTTTTTTTAACTAACTAGACTACTCAGCTATAGGATCATATAGCACACTTTAAGGTTTTATTCTTCAAAACAACAAAACCAGGCTGCTATTTCCTAGCTTAGCTGTGGTCATGTGGGGTTCTGCATCTATAATACAGCTTACAAAGCTGCTTCCTAGTCACTTTATGGGCCTTTGGAAGTAATGGCTTCAAATCCAAGCCTTATCCATGTATTCATAGTCATGACCCTGCGGCCCCCCCCCCCCCTTTTCAAGGCATGGTCTCACTGTGTAGCCCTGGTTAGCCTGGAATTTAGACGAGGCTGGCCTCAGAGATCCACATGCCTCTGGGATTAAGTATGTGCCATGAAGCCCAGTCTCTTAATAGTTTCTAAAACAGACTTCAGAGTATCTGTGACTCAGAAAAAACTCTAGGATCTTGATTCATGTGAAGCCAATTCTAGGCCTGAATTTACTCACAGTTTCTGCTGGCCCGCATCACATCACACAGGTTCTTCATTCACAAGAAAATGGTATCCCCAGCCCGAATCATACATGGCTTAGTCAGTGCAGTGCTTACCTAGCAAGCCTAAGGCTCAGAGTTTGATCCCAGGCATGGTAGAGCACACTTGGACTCCCAACTGTGGGGGCAACAAGATAAGGAGTTCAAGACCATCTTCAACTGAGGCCAGCCTAGGCTGCAGATACCCTGCCTCCAAAATAAAAAAAGCTTTTCCCCCCGCTTTCTTTCGGTGGGTGTTTGGAAGTCACATCATGAGTTTCTGGAAAGCAGCCAGCAGTAACTCTGTCATCGTCATGTAGCTGTGGCCCAGTTACACTGGCCCTTCTCATTCGTGCCCTGTAACCCAAGACCAGTTCCAAAGGGGCCTTTGCACAAAAAAGCAGTATTTTTTTTTTAATGCCAGTAAATTTGACTAAATGAGACTCTGGAGAGCCTACTTTTAGCACCACCTTGTCCCACGGCCACAGGCGTCTCTCCACAGAACACAGACAGTGGCACTAGCGTAAGCCTGGGGTAGGAAGTTGCTTCCTTGTGCCCACTAACAAGCTGACTCCACCCACACATCAGTGCTCTCTTCTGCCACCAAATCTCACTCTATTCCAAAAACAGTGCCTCCCTGGTTCCTGGAAAACCCACCTGGTGAACTAAAATGCCCAACAACACCTAATGGCTTCTTCCCCAGGAATGCTCACCAGCAGTAACTCCTCGAGAATCAGCTGTGCAGTTCAGCTTTATCACTGTGGAGCAGGAGGTTCCCTTTCAATTTTTTTTTTCTATTCTCTTTTTTAAATGAGACAAACATCTCCATTACAATTCATGTTTGGGGCTCACTGCTGTCTCTTGAGTGTGAAACACAAATCATGTTTTGTTTTGTTGTTTTGTTTTTTTTTTGGTTTTTGTAAAATGACTTTTTACACCGTGGTTTTGAAATAAGTTTCTTATTAAAAGATTAAAACGTCTTTGTGTGCAGGCTTTATTTGAAATCTGTTTTAAGAACCATGACTACTCCTCGGGACAAGGGCAGAAATGTAGGGATGCACACACAGCTGTGCAGTCAACATCTGAGCTGAAGCTGGGGGCTGCCCAGGGGGCGGAGGTTCAGCTGCCATGGGGGTAGTATCATGTGGTGGTCCTAGACAGTAGGCTGTCTTGGGAAGTTTGAGTACACAGGAATTCCATTCTCTGCAACCAGATAACAGGTGGTATTAGAAATTGGAAAACAAAAAGGAAACTGCTTTCACCTAGAAATCCAAGAGTGATGATTTACACCAAGTCTCTCCTACTTTCTGTGAATAGCTCAACAGAACTGCTGTCTTTCAGAGCTGGAATATGCAGAGACAGAAAATTAAGTGCTTACTTGGCTACACCCCTGGCTGAGGTGCCATCAAATCAATGTCACTCAAGTTCCTGGCCAGCCAAACTCCCGCAGCAAAGAGTCCCAAATTGAGGATCAAGTTCCTGAGTAGAAAATATATTTCATTAACCCTGAGGTCACTGAGTTTGATGGAGCTAATAACATACCATGGGAAGTTTACGTCAACACCACCATCTGGAGGTTTTGATCAACACTATGTCGCACAATATGCACGTGAGAATTTGGAGATATATCTATTCCTAACACAAGCAAAGGCCAACTTAACACTCTAACATAAAATTCCGATTTATGCCTTGGCATCTCTTCCCTGCCTCCTAGGTCAGGGTGACTTTTTTTTTTTTTTTTTTGGTTTTTCGAGACAGGGTTTCTCTGTGGCTTTGGTTCCTGTCCTGGAACTAGCTCTTGTAGACCAGGCTGGTCTCGAACTCCCAGAGATCCGCTTGCCTCTGCCTCCTGGGTGCTGGGATTAAAGGCGTGCGCCACCACCGCCCGGCTCAGGGTGACTTTTTAAAAATAATACATTCAGCCAAAGCTACAGAGAAACCTTGTCTCGAAAATCAAAAAAAAAAAATCATTAAATTGTATGTGTGTGATACTGCATGTTGACACAGTGCAAGTGTGGAGATCAGAGTACAACCGCAGGAGTTGGTTATCTCCCTCCACCTTGCGGGTACCAGGGATCTAACTCAAGTCCTCAAGCTTGGCGGCAAACGCTTCCACCCGCTGAACCATCGCTACAGCCCAGGTCGACATTCTAGATACCTTGAGAAGCACGTGACAGATATTTTTGACATCAATGCATTTTACGAGCCTACGGCCTCAGCAAAACACAGAAAGTTACCACGAAACCATTATGTTGTCAATGTGGTTAAAAAACAAAAACAAAAAAACCACCTAGGATTGCCAGCCTCACTAGGAAGGGAAATACAAGTTTATGAGGATCAGAGAGGGGCCAGCCTCGGTTACCTCCGGAAATCGTTCCGATCGGTGGCGAAGCGATAGACGCCGCGGAGCCAGTCTCCCACGTTGTCTGGAACCTCGGGGGCCTCGTTGGCCGAGCCGGAGGCGCTCACTGCCATCCCACTAGAAGCCATAACAGCACCCGGGCACCTCCACAGAGCCTGCGCGCAGCTCAGAGTCGGCGCTGTCTGATCGCGCAACTTCCGACCCCGCACTTCCGCCTACTGGTAATGAGACGCAAGAAGACCCGCCCCCGGCTGCTTCCACGAGCTTGGACCCCAGGTCGGAGGTGGAGCCGGTGCTCGCTGCCCCACCTCCCGGTGCCTGGGGCGTGTTACCCGTGCAGCGCCACCTTTCCGTTAGTTTAAGCAAGGTGCTGACGGTGGGGCTAAACTCAGCCCTTGGGGATAGGGGTTAGCTCACCCAGGAAGTTCTGGGCAGTGGTGTTTCCCCAAGAAACTTTTCTACAGGTTAGAGAACGTGCAGTGTGGATGGGACTGTCCCGCGTGTCTGACTGCCTTCAGTCTCGGGTTCTTTCCACTGCAGTCTTGTTACCCTGTTTCATAGGTTCCCCCATCTCACTACTCTGCTCTCCGGGCTGCCCCACTAACAAATGGTGCAGTGCTTCCTGGAGATGTCTCTGTCATCTGTCTGGAGGTTTGGGGAGGACTTCCAGGGACCTGGAAGGCGCTGGCCCAAGAAAAAGCCTTCGGGTTCCGACTCAGAGGAAGAAGAGCAGGTGGGGCAGGGGCTGTGCTCTTGGACGTTTCCGGGAGTCTTAGGGCGCTCTCGGCCCTGCCCTTTGGACGCCCCACTCTGGGTTTCCAGAGTGGAGCTGGCTACCGTAGAGGGAAGTGTAACTTGGGAGGTGATCTTGTCATCCGAGGAGGCACCGTTCCAGCCGACGCTTGGATCGGGTTCTGTTTCCCCTGTTAGAAATGCCCATCTCAGAGCCCCCAAATTTTTGAGCAAGAGGCGGGCCAGGGTTGCGTGCAGCCTCCCGCCCCGCCCCAGGCTGGTGCCGTGCGCGCCACCGCTGCCGCCAATCTACCCCAAGGGCCCCCGCCTCCGTCCACCAGTGGGCGACTGCGTCCCCAGCCCGGGAGCGAGTTTGGCGCCGCAGCCCAGCCGGGAGGGTTCAGGAGGCCTTCGGAGCGCGCAGGCCTGGGACGCGCGGTGAGAGCTTCGGGCCCCAATGCTCGCGTCTGGGGTTGCGGTGGGAAGACAGCATGGGGAATGGGACGAGGGGTTCTGGCCCGGGAGATTCCCCGCTTCTATGATCAGCCTAAGCCGCCGCCCCCTCCCCCTTAAGATCGCACCGTCCCCTCCTTTACCAAGGGACGCTAGCCCTTCCAGTGCCTCTACTGAGCTAGAATCTGCACTCCGGTAGCGGCTCACGAAGCAGCTGGGGCAGCAGGGGCTGCCCCCGGGCAGGGCATAACGTCCTGCACCCAGAGGCCCGGCGCAGTCTTGGCAGCAGAAGTGGTTCTCGTGCCAGCGCTGTCCTTCGGCCTCGGTACAGCTCTGAGAGAAGATCAGCTGGGAGAGGTTGAGGAAAACGATTGATTCGTTCATTCATCCATCCATCCATCCATCCATCCATCCATCTATCCGTCCAGTAACCACACCTTATACTCATTAACGCTCAAAAAAAAAAAAAAATGCCCACAGGCATTCCGATTTGGAGTACTTTGTAACTCTAGGATTCTGGGAGGGTGACTGGCTTTGGCCGGATCCTCATGTAGCAGGTGGCATAGCCAGAAGTTGGGCCCCAGAGCTTTCCTGACTCCCAAGGCTCAGTACTGTCTTTCATGTTGTTAGGGTCTTTCTAGCATGGTCAAGCTCAGCACTGAGCATCTGGCATAGTGATGATTCAGGAATCCAGAAACGTTCTGAGTCCAAGAGCATTTACAGACCCCTGTTTGCACTGGGGGAGCAGAGGTAAAGGTCCCACGTGCGCAGAGCTCTTGAGTGGCCCTGGCTAGTTCTCGTTCTCTCCACCCTGTTCTCCACTTCTACTACAAGACCCTCCAGCCTATGAAGGTGACAGCTGCTCCAGCATTGCTGGCTCTGGGGAGGAATTCTCCCAGCGTCTCTCTCCCCTTTTGCTCTACCTGGTCACAAGCAGGACATCGAGGTCGCAGCAGCTCTGCGTGATGGCGGCCACAGTAGAGATGCCCATCGTGGTAAAAGTAGATGAGGTTTATCAGGGCCTGCCCACAGGCCTGGCAAGTAAAACAGGGTCTGTGCCAGCAGCACTGCTCACCAGCCCTGGCCGCAAACACTCCGTACTCTCCTGGATTCAGCAGCTTCTTGCACTGCCAAAGCAGAGGCCCTGAGCTCTTAACCTGAACCTTCTTAGCTTCACTCATGGCTCTCCAACCACATCCCCAACCCCCCAATCTGGCTGTTCATATTATGCTGCAAGCCCATCTCCACCGCAGAGGTCAACTCTCCAAACCTGGCTTCCTCCTTTCCCTAACATTTACCAAATCACCAATCCTGAAAACATTTCTCTGCTAAACTCCCCCCAACCCTTTCTGCAGAGCAAAGGGCGGAGGAAGGGAAAGGCTCAGGGATAGAGAAGGAACAGACATACTCCCTACCTTCTCACAGGTGTATCCTTCAAGCTTGGGAGGTAACAAGCGGGCCACCCCCTGTCCCATAGATTTCTGCTTCCGCTGGGCACAGAAGAGCCGCAGTTGGGTCAGTTCCTCCTCCCCTAGGGCCAGACAGTAGCGCTCCTAAAGGAAAGGCCCACATGCATCCAAACCTTAGAACACTGCTGGAGTGACATGTTCTCTAAGGTTGATGCTGGCTGGGAGAGAGGCAGAGCCTTGGGAGGGAATGGTGCATGTGCTGCCGTGGAGACGGCCTGCACTCGGGGCTGCACCGTCACTCGGGGCTGCACCAGGTAGCACTTAGCACCATCATCACATAGTGTGGCCCTTGTTCCCATTGAGCTAGGTCCCAGAATCCCTTTCACATGTGTTCTCTCTGCTCCATAGACTGTCTTGCCTCTCGGTGAATTGTAAGTCTTTAGGCTGCACATGCTGGGGCCCTCAATAAATACTGAACAACCACATTTCTACATTCGTGCATCCCATTCTTGGTTGCAGATGCCGTTCATGTCCATTTTCCCATTTGCTCTTAAGCTAAGCCTTGTGATGCGCAGGACATGTATTCCTGCACCTGTCTGTCATTAGCTGTGGGAACTCAAGCTAAAGAGAATTGCTTCCTCCAGCTACGTATTTTAGTCATACGTCTTGAATTCTAGACCAAGACTCTTACTACACAGTAAGTAACAAGGTGTGGAGAGGAAGCGAAGGAGGAGCGAGAGGAATCCGAGGGGGGGGACCCACGTCACTGTCCTGTGGAGGAAACTGCTGCAGGAGGGTCCGAAACTGAGGCCAGCTTGAGGCTTGGTTGGTATCCAGGCAAGGTGGGCCCAAGCTCGATCCTGGAGGAGCCTGAGGAGGCACAGGAGAAGGGGGCTGGGTCTTCCCCTTCCCTCCCTACCCTTCCCCTTATCGCCTGCCCTCCAATCTATAGCAACTCCTAAGCATTCCTCTCCACTTGGAGGAAATCCCCTCCTGCCCATCACTAAGAATAGTAGATCTGTCCGGCATGGTGGCACAAGCCTTTAGTCCCAGCAGTCAGGAGGCAGAGGCAGGTGGATCTCTCTAACTTCAAGCCTCTTCTACAGAGTGAACAGTAGGTCCACTCCTGATCCGAGACCTGCCTGGAAGGAGCCCCCAAACACCACTCTATATACTGGAAGCCCCACATTCGCACACTCCTAGAGCCAGGCTCTGACAACCTAGGCGGACTCGGGAGAGGTGCTATTATGTTTGCAGGAATGAATTTCAACCCCTAAGTCCTGAAAAGAGAACAGGTCGACAAAGAGTTAGGCAAAGCTGAGGGGGTATGCAGCCCCACCCACTGGGAGGCTGAGATAGGAGGACAAAGTTCAAGAGTTACATGACAAGGTCTTACCTCAAAGTGGGGGACAGAGGACCTGGGATAGCAAAATGGCTCAGCACATAAAGGCACTCAACACCAAGCCTGGGTTTGATTCTCTGGATCCTCATGGTGGAAGACTGACTCCCACAGGTTGTCCTCTGACCTCCACATGTGTTGTGGTTCACAACACACACACACACACACACACACACACACACACACTGAGTAAATATTTAACAAACTTCGGGTTTGGTTTTGTTTGAGACAGGGTGTGTTTCTGCAGCCCCGAGTGGCCTAGAACTTGATACTCATCTATAGACCAGGCTGGCCTTGTACTCACAGAGATCTGCCTGTGTCTGCCTCCTGGGTTCTCCTGGGTGCTAAGACTAAAGGTGTGCCCACCACACCTGGCTAATAAAGGCTTGATTTTGTTTGGACGGAAAGAAAAATGCAACATCTCCTGGCTGGTAGGAGGGGAATGAGGCCAGAGGATGAGAGCATGGTGGTCTCAGAAAGAGTGGGACTCCTACCTGAACAGAGGTGTCCTCATCGCCCTCTACTGGCTGCTGGCCTACGCCACTGTCTGAGTTAACTGGTGGATCTGGCTCCCTGAACATAGAACTGTCCTGCTGGAGGGACCAGTCAATTCTGAGCTGACACTGGTGACCGACAGTCTGCCTGGAAAAGACAGAAGATCAGCTCATTCAGTGAGCCTTCCCAGCATGCCAGGCAATGCCAAGTGCTTTCCAAGCGCCATCTCAGTCTTGTCAACAGCCAGGAGACTGAGTTGGCATTGTCCCCAGCTTACAGGCGGCCAGGCTGGGACTCAGACAGCACTGGTGTGTGTGTGTGGTGTATCCAAGGTCAAACAGCTGTAAGTGGCAAAGTCAGACAGATCTTTAGCCCCTGAGCTTGTGAAGTTCAAAATCTTGGATATTACAAAGCTGGGTGGTATAGAAGAGAAAGCATGGAAGGAACCATTCTGCTCTCCCATGAGCCTCTGGGCAGGCTGGAGCTCTCCTACTCACCTTGCCAGTCTTCCCAAGGTCCCCCAGTGCAGCTCACCACACAAACCCATCTCCGCACTACACCCTACTCAGGCTGTTCCTCAGTCACCACACCCCACACACACCTGTCTCCTCACTACACCCTACCCAGGCTGTTCCTCAGTCACCCCACACACACCCGTCTCCTCACTACACCCTACCCAGGCTGTTCCTCAGTCACCCCACACACACACCCGTCTCCACACTACACCCTACTCCGGCTGTTCTTTTCCAGCATTGCCCTTGTGGAGCCTGGCTGAAGGCCTCCTTGCCAGGAATCCTCCTCATCTTCTCTGGCCTGTACCAGTTCTCCCTTCCTGAGTTCTCAAAGGAAGCATAGTCAGTGGCCCCAAATTAGTACCCAGTGTCTCCTCATCTAGTCTAAATGCCTCAAGGGTACAAGAAAACTCTGTGTCTACCCCACAGCCCCTCACAAACCAGACAAGCCCTCTTCCACCAAGCTATACTTCCTGTCCTTATAGCAGCATGAAACAGGGTCTCACAGAGCCAAGGCTGGCCTTGGACTCCTGATCCTCCTGCCTCAACCTCCAAAGTGCAGAGATCCAAACCATGCACCACCACACCCCACTTTATAGCAGCAATTTTAATGACTAGTCCCGGTGCACCTCTTTAGGCACAGTCGAAATGGGATCACGGTGTCTCTGGGCGGGACTAACTACTGATGCAGAGAAAAGATGGGCGCTGCTCTGGATGAGGTCGCAGGATAGTGAGCGGGAACCAAAGAGAATAGGGTTCATGCACCTGTATTCTGGGTGGAGGACTGGGTTGTGTGGGATGGTGACAGCCGGAGCAGACATTTACAAGTTTATTCAGTGTACGCGACTATTCTAGAACTTTATATAATAGGTCCATTCTTACCGTCCATTGAAGCAGTTTCTTCTACGCTTTTACAGTTGAAAAACCAACCAAGCCATTGACCAATGAGCAAACTACAAAGCTCCGGGAGTTTTAGGAAGTACCCTACCTCGGGGCAGCAGCTGAGCTCAGGAGAACCAACAGTGAATCTCTAGGCTTTGGGAAGTCCTGAGGTTCCGTGTATAATCACCAGAGCGCCACCCAACCCCATGGACACCCCCAGTTCCCCTTCAAATATCCAGTGCCACCCTTCCCTCCTTCCTGGCTCCACACCCACCTGTTTCCTTCCTGTCAGTCCCTCAGGGCAGGTTTCCTGTGGAAGGTGGCCAGGATGGACTCCACACTCAGGGGTAGGAACAGCCACACCCCTTAGCAGCACTGCTTCAGCTCCACAAAACAAGGGGGGAGGGGGTTTCTGGGGTACCCTCTTCCGGATTAGTTCTAGTTTGCATGGAACTCTCTGGCACAAAAATAACTCTCAGAAATCAGACTTCTACAGTCACCCTTCCTGTCCCCCACCTCCGAGCAACCTGATTCACCTCCAGCTACCATTGGACCCCATCTTACCAACACGCTGGTTTCCTCCCATAGTTCCCCTCCTCTCCTTTCAGATAAGATCGGGTCAAACACTGACTCCCGCCTCTCGCCCCAGATGCAAGCTAGCTCAGGAGTTCAACCTCCCCAAACAACACCCATTCTTGGAAGGATGAGCCCCAGAGGTCCTAGGCACTAGAGAGCAGTAAAGTGGAAAGGTATCCCTGAACCAGAGGGAAAAGGGAGGGAAATATACGTTCCCATCAAGTGGCTCTCGGCAGAGCCCCAAAGTTTTCCTAGGACTTTGCGGACCACCCGCAGGGCGGAAGCTCGACGTGTGCTTACCGAGTTCGCTTGGGGTCCCTGTCTAGATGCTGGTTTAGGAGTGGGGTCTCAGCCGCCCGGGCTGTTCTGGTGAGACCCGCCGTCGGGCCACGCCCCCAGTGGCCCCGAACTGGGTGTTGCAGACTGAGGGAAGCGCTCGCGGGTCTCAGGGCGGGAAGGGCGCAGGTATCTGCGGACTCGGCGACGCGACGCGCTACCGCGAAGCCCGAAAGGTCTAGAGTCTCTCGGCCCGCCCCCGGCTTCAGCCCCGCCCCCTCTGCGGGCCTCTCCAGCTCCTCCCCTCTGTCCCCAATGTCCCTCGCTACTTTCCCTCCTGGATTCCGAATCCTGTCCCGCTTCAGTCCTCCGATCCGCTCTGCTCTCTCTCGAGAGTCTCTTCTGCTAGAGAGACTGCTGACAGCTCTGCTCCCCGCCCCACGCCGCGCCGGGCCCCTCTCAAGACAGGCCACGCCCCTCAGGATTCCCAGCCACTGGCCCCGAGCGCCCTCTGGCGTCTGCGCATGCTCTCTGCCCCCGACTGCAAAGTCCTCCAAAGGGACCTTCTAGGCTGCCTGCCGGTTGCCCCCGCTCGGGTCGGCCGGCCCGCAGCGTCTCGTTGGTGCAACCCGCGACCTCCGACCCCGCGGGAGCGGGGCGGGACGGGGAGGCCTTAGCTGCGGGCGGGCGGCGGCTGCTGCAGCGGGACCCGGGAGCGGGGGCCCGGCGCCGCCCGGGCCGCGGGGCGATGTGAGTCGGGGCGCGGCGGGGCGGGGACCAGGCGGCTCTACCGAGGCCGTGTCGCGCCGCGCCGCAGTCTCCGCTCCTATCCTTAGAAAGCCCCAAGCGGGCGAGCTAGCGGCGGACCCGGGGCCTGGGGGCGGGGATGCAGGCTTGGAGCGCGACTGCGACCTCCGCATTCCGTCTGGGTATCTAGAAAACCTGTAACCAGTTCTGCCTCTCGCTCCCCAGACCCCACCCTCTCCCCTCCCCCTGGTTACACCTTCGGGTCTCTAGGATCCCGCAGAACCCCCTCACTCACCCACCCAACCTCTTGAAATACCCACAGACACATCTCGTTCTCCCTTCAGTGGCCCAAAGGCTTCCGCGGTCTCACCATCCAGAAATTCCTCAGCCTTTTCATTTCTGCACCATGCCCAAATCCAGAATCTCCCAAGCCCATCTTCTCCCAAGGCTTCGAATACATTTTCAGACCACATACCTCCATCTAGTGCCTGTCCCTACCTACCTCAGACCAGAACCTCCCCCACCCCACCCAATGTAATCCCTCTCAATGGATTATCTAATAATGTGTTTGAAATCTCAGAGAAAAAGAGGGGAGTTGGAAAGGTGCAACCCCTCCCCCATCTTGCATCCAGTAGCTCTTGGCTTCGCATCCCTTCCCAACACCCTGTTGTTGGTTTAAACCCCCGTGGTATTTTCAGTACCTGCCTTTAGCCTGCACACAATTCCTTTAACCTCCTTAGTCCTTCCAAAGAATTAACCAGACCAAGAGGTGTGGGGTTCTTTTACCTAGAGTTGTGCAGGGCTGGTGGGGGGTACACTGGGAAGTGCTGTTTTCCTGGACCGGAGGGAGGGATTTCAGGAGTTTTCTTCAGAGTCTTGGTTTGTTGATTCATCTAGCTAGGGCTCAGATAATCTGAAAATTTGCGTCTTGTTGTAACTGTCCCTTCTGACACTAGGAACAGAAAGCCTGACCAGCTTTCAAATGGGAAGTGCTTCGCTAATACCTGCTTCTAGAAGTTACTTCAGCTAGAACTCTCTGGTATTTCCTCAGAAAAGGGGAAGGGTCAGGAGTTGGAGATGGTGGAGGGAGAATGACAGACCCTCCCCTAGATTTAGCAACAAAACGTTCTAGAATGTTGGTTTTCAGAATCTTAAACTGGTGTTCTTGCTGAACTAGCATATTGTTATTGTTCTTCTGAGAAAGAAAACTTTTCGTAGGGTTGAAATTCTCTGCAAGGTCAGGTGGTGGTCTGAGCGGCAGGATTCCAAGGGGACACCAGTGATGGCTGCCAACTGGAGGTGTTGGCATCTCAGAGTTCATTGTCCTTGGTCATAGGGAGGTCCATCCAGGGCTGCAAAGTTGTGGTCTTTCGTCTGAGATCATGTTGTGCTCATTGGTCTTTCTAGCTGGACCCAGGATCCACTAGGACCTGGACCGGATAAATCCAGGTGGGAGACACTGATAAGTCCGTTTCATGAAGAGTTGGGGGCTGAGGGTAGGTTTCCATTAACGTATGGTCTCTGTCTCCTGTGCTAGGTGAGCCCCAGGTGTGACCCACAGGGATCCAGGTGACTTGTCTGCAGACGCTTTGCCATGACACCCCTCCAAGGACGGGGGGAGTGAAGTGGGAATCCTTTCCCATGCCCCTCCCAGGGTCAGCTCCCCAATGGCCTGGGTGAGGTAAGAACTGCGGCTAGGTGTCAGTTTTGTAGAGTTTCTTAACTCGGGAGGAATATAGGGAACAGGTCACTGGGTTGTCAAAGGTTCTACCACAGCAACAGAGGTTCCTGGATAATCCACTACCTTGTGGTTTTTCGCAGTAAAGTGAACCTCTTAAAACTGCTGGCTGGGCCGGGTGGTGGTGGCACATGCCTTTAATCCCAGCATTTGGGAGGTAGAGGCAGGTGGATCTCTATGAGTTTGAGGTCAGCTTGATGTACAAGAGCTAGTTCCAGGACAGTCTCTAAAGCTACAGAGAAACCCTGTCTCGAAAAGTCAAAAATAAAGATAAAAAGCACTGCTGGCTGGGCCTAGGAGTGTAGCTGGGCAGCAGAGCACTCGTGTAGCAAGCACAAAGCACTGCATTGGATTTCCAGCACAAAGAACAAAACCTCTGTTTGGGTTCTGTCCGTGTGTCTTGTTCCCTTAGGTCACAGAGGTCTATAGTAAGGCAGAAACCTGTCCGTTGTGACTGTCTTCCCATTATCAGTAGCCCGAAGGGAAAAGCCTGCTAAGGTCTCCTATCTCTGCTCCAACCTTTGGGAAGGCAACCCTGCCTTCTGTTAGTTGCTTTCGTGGAATGCTGGGAGTTCAGGTTGGAGCCTCATAGGAAATATCTACTGCCGAGCTATATGCTCAGCCCCAGCATTTTTCTTCTTCAATGAAGAAATTTCTAACCAAGGGTGTTTTTTTTTTTTTTTTAAATAATGCTAGTTTGAGCCCAGCCTGGTAGTATTTTTACTCCCAGCACTTGGAAGCCGAGACAAGAAGATCTCTGTGAGTTCCAGTATTCGGTCATTAAGTGTGGGTTTGCCTTTTTTGTTGTTTTGTTTCCATTTGGTTTTTGGTTTTTTCAAGACAGGGTTTCTCTGTGTAGCCCCAGCTGTCCTGGATCTCTCTCTGTGGACCAGGCTGGCTTGACTCACAGAGATCCGCCTGCCTCTGCCTCCCAAGTGCTGGGATTAAAGGTGTGCGCCACCGCCTAGATTGTTGGGTCTTATGATCACAGTGTACTAACAGTTTACTTGAAGAGAACACCACAAATACTCATTTCCAGTGGATATTAGGGTGGAGCAAGGGAGGAAAGAGAGAACATGGTTGGAATGAAATGGGTAAGGTGAAAAATGAGGGAAAGAGAAAGGAACAAGATAGTATCTGCGACACGCAAGGGACACTGTTTGCTGACTCCAGATGAGGATCACAGCTGTGACAGCCACTCCCATGCCCCTTATAGCCATGCTGATCTTCCAGTCAGTCACTCCACAGGCCAGACCCCTGTGTGCTTCCCAGGCCTCTGAGAAGCTTGCTATCCCCCGCCTGTAGGAGTCCTTCACTCATTCTAACTTGAATTAATGTTTATCCCAAGCATGTTTGACCACGGGTTGAGAGAGCATTCCCTCAGTTTGACCACAGGTTGAGAGAGCATTCCCTCAGGGTGCGTCCGTGTCCTGCAGCCTCATGGCTGGAGGACGTGCTCACAGTGCAGTGTCTGCTCAGAGCTCCTTGGCAGGGTGACTGGTGACCTGCTCATCCCTTGTCTGTCCCTAGGGTGGAAAGGCTGCTCTGACACCATGGGGAGCTGCTGTAGCTGCCTGGACAGAGACAGCGTACCACACAACCACCCTACCAAGTTCAAGGTACCCAGAGCCTCTCCCTGCTCGAGTTCCCAGGGCCTGTTGAGTTTAGGCCTCCAGTATCTCTCGGGAAGGAGAAATGACAGGCTATGGTGTGGACTCAGTAAGGTGCCTTGTGCTTGCTCTCTGACGTCTGAGGTGGTCTGGCAGGGGAACCTAACCCTTTTTTTTATTTCTGGTTGTTCTTTTCCTCCCACCCCCTTCCCACCAAGAATAATATGTTTTAAAGAGAGCGTACATAGCCCTGAAGAAACACTATATTGGTGTTTTATGAACCTTAGCTCCCTACATCCCATAGGAGGCGCCTTCTCCTCACACTGGGGTTTGTCAGGGCCAGTGTTTCTCCTTCCCAAGTAGAGAGGGAGCCCTCAGCAAGTTTGTACAGTTTGGGGATTGGAGGGTGGCTGTATCTGCTCAGCAAGTCTTTCAACTTTGAATTAACAGTTAACCCCTTCTTTGTTGACATCCTGGCCTTTGAAATTAAGCCCCAGGAATTTCTTGAGCATCAGACAGCTAACCACCTGGCCTTGGAGTCAACAGGTGACCTCTTTCCTGTCTGCAAATGTCAGAGCTGAGAGCCATAGAAGAGATTACCCCATAGAACTGTCATGCCCATGGCACTGCTCCGTGTGACCCAAGGGGGCAGTGTTCCTGTGGTACAGCTGAGAGCCACTCAGTCTCCTGGCCCTAACCCCACAGTCACTGTCTCCCAGTGGCTCAGGGTCCCTTGCATACACTTCTTGGGTTCCTTACTGACACTGTGTCCGTTCTCCCTGCAGGTGACTAATGTGGACGATGAAGGGGTGGAGCTGGGCTCAGGGGTGATGGAGCTGACCCAGAGTGAGCTGGTGCTGCACCTGCACCAGCGGGATGCTGTCCGCTGGCCCTACCTCTGCCTGCGGCGCTATGGCTATGACTCCAACCTCTTCTCCTTTGAGAGTGGCCGCCGCTGTCAGACGGGCCAGGGTGAGTACCAGCTCTGCCCTCCAGGACAGGGACATGAGCTTGTTACAGAATTGGAGCGTGGCCTTTCACATACTGACATCAGACATCAGACTTGGTGGTGTTGCTCAGAGCAGGGAAAGGTCCAAGCATCACTGCTGTTCTTCCTCGAGCCTTGTGAGAACATTTGGTGCGCAATCCATGAAGTAGCCAGTGCTCCTAGGCCAGAGGCCACGTAGCAGAGACAAACCACTCTTCCCACTGTTGCTATGGTTTCAGGGTTCTACTGCTGTTGGAGTAGGAAAAAAAAAACGCCTTCTGAGCTACCATGTCATACACCCTGGGTCTTATCCATAGTGGAAGAGAGGTCAGGAAGAAGACTGGCTGCTCTGGGCTGAGATCTGGGGAAGCAGGAGCTTGGGTCTCATATACAGGTTAGCCTTCAGGAGCCCAACATTTGTCTGCCGTCCCCTGTGGGCAGTGGAGAATACTGGTTCCCCGTGGGCATTTGCCCTCTGCAGCCAGAGGTCAGGGGCTGGCAGCTTGTTCCAAGAGGCTGAGGTTAGGTCGTGAGGTTTGGGCTTGTCCATTATGTCCAGGTGTGCTCAGCTCCAGAAGTCCTTGAGATTGTGCTGCAGGCAGACAGGTGGAGGAGAGCAGCGTCTCCTGAGACAGCCACAGGCCAGTGAGTCTCCTGGGTTGACTGCTATGCGGCCCTTTCCTCCATGTGTCTCATTCCTGTAGTTCATGGGCACGAGAGGGCACAGGAGAACATGGCATGTGAACAGAGATAAGGCAGAGAGCCGCTTGATCTGCACTTGGCACCTGAGGGAGGCTGTCCTAGATCCTAGTGCGGGGCTTCTCTTGATACCAGGCTTTCTCTGTCCCCTCCCTCCTCCATCTCTCACCACCCATCCCCCTTTGAGATGGTCTGTTACAAGTAGCCTTCACTGGTCTCTAAACTCATGGTGAGTCTCCTCTCACCTCCCAAGGTGGTTCACAGCAGGGTGTCGCCACCTCTTCCTGTCTTTTCCAGCTTTTACATTTCCTGTCACAAGAGCCCTTTTTTCTTCCCCATCTTTCTCATTCTGTTTCTACAAACTTCAGTTGCCCTATACTCGGGCAAATGGGCAGCACTATAACAGTAATACGATATGCATGGTCCATATTTCCACTTAATTTTATTTATTATTATTTGGGTGTGGTGCTGGGACTTAAACCAGAGTCTGTGCATGCTAAGTAAACATTTGACCACAGATTCCACTCCTCCCCCTGGTTTTTTTGAACAGGGTTTTAATGGGTAGCTCAGGCCAGCCTTGAACTTTGTGACTACTTATGAGGGTGTGGTGCCATATCTGGTAATATATCTACCTTTGCTGTGGATGTGTGCCCAAGGTGTCCCCAGAGCTGCCCCTGAATCCCATGATCCCGTGTTGCAGAGCCCCAGGCTGGCATCTTCAGAGCCATTGAATTCCAGGTGTTCAGCCCATTCCTGGCACTTTGGGGACAGGTCAGACTTGGAAGGGCTTAGAGGCTGACCATACGCAGGAGCCACAGGACTGCCTTGCTGTGTCTCTCTTCAGCTCTGCCCATCTTCTCCCTGTTTCACCAGAACCCAAGCTCTGTGAGGACCCTGTGTGCAGAGGCAGGAGGCCTAGCCTGTGAATGACCTGTGAATGATTAGAGGGCATTGGGTGGGGCTTGTTTTTCCTGGAGTGCAGGGAGATGGGGGCAACTCTCTGTGGTTTTCACTTCACCCCTGAAGGCAGCCATCCTCATGAAAACAAGCATACCTCGGGGAATATGGCTGCAGTGCTGGGCCTTGGAACGATAGCAGGTAGTATAGAGAGACAGGTGCCAGGGGTTCATCCCCTCCCACCCATCCCTCCAGCGTCTTTGGGGTTCTAGAATGCCCCGAGGATGAATGCTTAGGAAAGGAGAGGCACAGGGTGGGATTGAAGTTCAGGGACATTTCCTTTTGACTGGTTGAAGTTCCCTAGCCACTTAGGGTTGGCAAGAGCCTTGTTGCTTTTTTGCCTTCTCCAGGGATCTTCGCTTTCAAGTGCTCACGGGCTGAGGAAATCTTCAACCTGCTGCAGGACCTCATGCAGTGTAACAGCATCAGCGTGCTAGAGGAGCCAGTTATCATCACACGGAGCAGCCACCCCCCAGAGCTCGAGCTTCCTCGAGGGCCCTCACAACCCACTGGTAAGGAGACCCCCACCCCAGGAACAGTGAGTCTGGGAGGCCCAAGTCAAGCTAGCAGGTGGGGATAGCTGGGTTGAGCCAGCTTTCCTGGACATTCCCCCATCATCAGAACCATTCCTGAGGATGGCTCAGTGCTGGGCAGGGCCAAATGGGTGACTCAAGCTGGAGCTGCAGAATCCTAGGCATTGGGTCGACTAGTGGTTGGGAAGCAGACAGGAAGACGTTGGGTTGCCATAGAAACAGCAGTCTGGAGCTTTTTGCTTCTGTCTGTCTACTGGGCTAAGTTACACACAACATGTACCTCTCCTGTCTTACTGGTGCAGCCATCTCTGGCCATGACTGTGTAGGGTTCCCCACGGTTTGTGCTCGTTGGGTCTCTGACTACACAAGTGCTTATTGCTCTGCATTCCCTGGCCGGGTCTGGGGGAAATAGGAGGGATAGAAACGGTCCCTGCGTTTGTGGCGTTTGCGTGGTGCTCAGTGGCAAAGCCTGACTGCAGTCATGGATGGTCCCGGGGTGACAGGTATACCTTCCATGCTTAAAGTAACCCGCCGTGATGGAATGGGAGCTGGGGCAGCCTCAGGCCTCAGGGTGACTTCAGAAGGCAGGCCAGGGCTTTCCAGTTCAGTGTGGCTTAGTCACACAAGGAGCCCGGAGAGTGTCTTGCCTTGCACCCCACAAATGTGTGCATCTGATTGTAAATGATTGTCAGGTGATTCCCATACCCCTCCCCTTGGCTGCCACCTCTAGGCTACACTGTCTCCAGCCTCTCCAATGGCTGCCCTGGCTGCCCTGGAGAGGGCACACGGTTCTCCGCTCCCCGCCGACCCTCCACAAGCAGCCTCCGACATCCCACGCTTGGGGAAGAGTCCACCCACACCCTCATTGGCTCCGATGAGCAGGTGCGCATATGGTAGGCTGCACTCCAGGTGGGGATGGGGCCTAGGAAAGGGTGTGGGAAGGGGAAGAAACCCAGCAGGGCTCCTTTCTACCCCCAGAAGGGTGAGCCTGTTGGGAGCTTTAGAGGCGGCAGAAGAAACGTGGCTCTTTTCCTGTTCCTCTGGTTCTGTCCCACTGCCTTTCCCACCCTCCTAGTCCTTGAACCCACTTGTTCCCTTGACATCTTTCCCCTGCAGTCCCACACCTATGTCAACACACCAACTGGTGAAGAAGACCACCGCAGGAGTCGCCACTGCCTGCAGCCACTGCCTGAGGGCCGGGCACCCTTCCCACAGACCCGGGTTTCCAACCAGCGGGACCCACAGGTGTTCTTACAGCCAGGGCAGGTCAAGTTTGTGTTGGGCCCCACGCCGGCTCGGCGGCAGGCGATGAAGTGCCAAAGCCTGTGTCCCAACATGCATGACCCTCCCCATCACAACAATAACGAGGGCCCTTCTGAGTGCCCAGCCCAGCCCAAATGCACCTACGAGAATGTCAGCGGGAGCTTGCGGCAAGCAGCTGGCTGGAGACTGAGCCCAGAGGAGCCAGGGTGGAATGGCCTGGCCCACCGTAGGGCCGCACTACTGCACTACGAGAACCTGCCCCCGCTTCCCCCTGTGTGGGAGAGCCAAGCTCAGCAGCTGGGCCGGGAGGCCGGGGATGATGGGGACTCCAGGGATGGGCTTACACCATCCTCAAATGGCTTCCCCGATGGTGAGGAGGATGAAACCCCACTACAGAAACCTACCAGCACCCGGGGCTCCTCTACCCGTAGCCACAGCAACTTCCCTGTCCCGCTGACCCGACGCCGAGGCTCCCCAAGAGTCTTCAACTTTGATTTCCGCCGGCCTGGCCCTGAGCCCTCAAGGCAGCTCAACTACATCCAGGTGGAGCTCAAGGGCTGGGGCACAGACCATCCTAAGGGGCCCCAGAACCCCGCAGTGTCCGGAGCTCCTGGGCCCACCCCACACCCTGCTCGCAGCTCAGACTCCTATGCCGTGATTGACCTCAAGAAGACCGTGGCCATGTCCAACCTGCAGAGGGCTCTGCCCCGGGATGATGGCACCGTCAGGAAGACTCGGCACAACAGCACCGACCTGCCTCTGTAGACCTGGTCCTTCCCCGCCCGCCTCCTGCAGAGAAACCTCCACCTTACCCACCAGCCCTGGACTCAGCTGCTTTGCAGACACTGGGGCGGACCAGATGCTTCTCTGCATTGCTGGAGTCCCCACAGATATCAGCCACTGAGTGTCCAGTTCCCCAAGCTGGGGAGAGGAGAGGGTGAGCTGGAGAGGAGGGAGCCATGGTGTAAACTGTGAAGGGTTCCCAAGGTTGCATTTAGCACCCTTCCCTAATGTCCATTTGTCTAGTCTGTCAGCTGTCTGTCTGTATGTGTTTTCCCTTTTTCTTTTTTCTTCTTCTTTTTTTTGGTTGGAGTTTTGAAACATTTTGTACCTGTTGGTTTTATTTATCAGTTTATTTTTCTATTTATTGTTTTAAATGTAACTTAACATATTTATTATTAATATAATTATTTTTAAATTCTGGTTCAGTGAGTCTATCTTCTTGTGCAGTCTTTCCTGGCAGGGGTCTAGATAGGTAGAACAGGCAGGCCTGATAGAGATAGGGTCATTCTGGCAAAAGCAGGGTGGTTGTAAAGTCTGGTCATTTCTTTTTCTTCTCTAAGAAGCCTAAAACTTATAGTTGCCAGGAATGGACGAGCTCTTGCAGAACAAGACCCCGTTGCTGGGAGCCCAGATGTAGAAGGAAACCTGGAGGAAAGGTGCTCCAAGAGATGATATTCTCATCCCAGGCTGAAGTGGACCAGGGAGGGGAGGAGAGACATTTCACCAGACTCTCCTCTGCACCCCTCCAGGCAAGCCCCATGGGCAGCTGCCACCCCTTAACATGTTGGCCCAAAAGTAGACCACAGCTTCTTCTCCTCAGCTACCCCAGCACAGCTGAGCCCAGGCCAGAACGTTCACACAGGATTTTGCTAAAATCCCAGAAGTAGCTCAGGTAAAACCATATGACTTCTGCCCTGCCTTCCAGCTTGTTGTTGTAGGCTCTCTTGGAGGACCGCCCCAGGATGGAGCCCCCAGGGACCTGTACCTTAGCTCAGGCCCAGCGGTCTCCTGCCAGCCCCCATCGTTCAGGCCACCTGGTGCCCTCTTGTGGCAGGGACTCCATTCTTCCTCAGGCTGTGCCTCCTCCCTTTGATGAGCTCTGAAGCCTGAGTGAGCATGAGAGCCCGTTTGCCCAAGACATATAGACAGGCCTTTTCTCTGGGTGCTCCCTGTGTGGCTCCCCGTCCTGTGCAGTGATCATGTGGCCCTCTCACCAAGGCAACAGTCCGGGGTGGAGCTCCCCGGTTTTCCTCTGCCACCATCTTCCGCGCGGAGATTAGACTGAGACCGCCCTCCTGACAAGTGGATGTCACCTGCACTCTCTAAAATGCACAAAGAGGATTGGTCACAGCAGGATGCAGGAGGAGACTGCTGCCTTACCTTGGAGCTCTGGCTGCAGACCCTTCTCCCTCTTCCACCCCGCTGGTCTCTGCTCCGGGGGATAACCCTCTGCAGATCAGACTGGCTTCAGCACTGGCAGGGTGCTCCCTGCTCTTGCAGCCTCTCGTCAGGAGGGTTTGTGTCTAGACACAGAAAGGTCAGTCAGGGGCTGGGGGCGCAGGGTGGAGGCAGTACAAATGTGCCAGGTCAGGCCTTAGGACCCTAACCACACTTGAGCAGTTATGGAGCCATGCTGACAGACTGGTTTTTCCCTTCCCTTCCTCCCTCGTCTCTTGCCCTCTTTCTCTACTCTTCCTCTCTGCCTGTGGGAATGGAACCCAGGGCCTCATGCATACTAAGCCAACAGTTCATGGGCAACTGTACCCCCAGTTCTCCAGACTCCTCCACACTGACAGTGGGCACTGCTGGGGCGGGGGGGGGGGCAGAGGCTGCTGTAGTCAAGACACCCAATTCTGTCCCTGGCTCTGCCACTGAATGGTTAGGCAAGTGGGCCTTATTCTGCACACGGAAGACCCGGAGCTGATATGACAAGTAGCCAGGCAGATGAGGAACGTCATTTCACTTGGATGGTGGACAGATTTTAAGTGTGGTCCCTGCACCTTTAGACCTAGCACTTCGGAGGTTGATGCACAATGGACCTCTGAGGTTAAGGCAAGCCTGGTCTGCGAGCCAATTCCAGCCCAGCCAAGATACATAGTGAGACCGTGTCTCAACACCAAAGAGCCCAGCTGTTCTTGAGGACAACAATCAACAGTTGTCCCCACTCTTGAGGCCCCCAACTTAGGACTTGCTGCATTCCTTTAGAGACACTTAACCTCATTCTCTTGGTTCCAAAGGCTGCTCTGACTCCCTGGGTCCCCCAGAACAAGTCACCATTGCTTCAGTGGGAAAGTCCAAGACACAGGCCCCAGATATTGGATCCCAGCCCGGTGGGGCCCTCACCTTCCCCTCTGCCTCTGACCCACATTTACTATAGGAATTTTCCTCTCTCAGGGATAGGGTAGGGTGAGAGAGGACAGCTTTCCTACAGGAAGGGATGGATGGGCAAATGGGCACAGTGCCCAGGAGGGTAACAGCTGCCCTTATGTTGGGACCTGTCCCTCAAAAGTCAGGGCTGGGAGCTTAGAGGAATCAGCCATTTCATCCAGAAATCATAGCCAACACCAGTGGCTGAGCACCTGTTTCCTTCTTTAGATGCAGGCGATGCTGGCCCCCTGGGCTTCCCTCAGGGAAAGCAGAGGCTGCAGCATCCTGTCTGTGAGTGACATTTCAGGTCAGACCGGAGAGGCCCTTCCCAAACCCACCCCTGTGTAATAACAAGGCTTCACCAAGTCTGCGCAGAGCAGCTGAGACCATTTATCTCTGTCAGGCCTCACTGGGCAGGCTTTGTTATCTTGGTGTCCAGGAGAGGAAACAGGCCAGGAGCTGAAGAGACTCACCTCAGGCCATGAGTTAATTAATGGCTTCTACTGGGGCTGGATGCCAGTCGTGTGGCCTTCCCACCCCTTCCCACCCCTACTCTGGACCAGGCCTGACCTGAGGACCACTCCCCTGCCCAAATGACTCCATTCTCAGTAGAGCACACTCCAGTGTCCAACTTGGAATTCCAGGCCAGGACCTCGCCTTAACTACCCCGTGACCCTGCTCCTCCCACACCTGCCCAACACCCGCAGATCTACCCTGCTCCTGTACTCTTGTACATCCTCAGGGACAGCTCCTGTCCATAGGAGGGGCGGGGCAGGTGCGTAGGAGGTCAGGTTAACTGATCCTGAGTACTAGGTGCTCCGGCAAGTACCTTCAAGTGAAGTCCTACTCAGAGGTGAAGAGGTCAGGATAAATGCTGAGCCTCCATCTAAGCCATGGCCATCTGTGGCAGAGAGGAGCTGGCCAGGGCAAGCAGGGCGGAGCGTTAGTTACCTGTGCCTTCGCCGTGACAGACATGCCTGACCACAGCCCATCATGGAGGACAGACATGATACAGGAGTGTGAGGCAACATCACACGGTATCCATTCCCAGCCAGCGGAGGTTCGGCTCACTTCCTCCTTGTCCTGTCTGAGACCCCAGCCCGTAAAATGGTGCTGCCCCAACGCTCTTCCTACCTCAGTTAAACCAGCCTGAAAACCCCTCCCATACGTGCCCAAACGTTGGTCTCCTAGGGGATTTAAACTTGGTGAAGTAGACACTTAGAGTTAACCAGTACAGGGCTGGAGATGGCTTAGTAGTTAAGAGCATACCCTGCTCAGACAGAAAAGCCAAGTTCAGTTCCTAGCATCCGTGTTGGCCTGCTCCCACCTCCTGTGACTGCAGCTCCAGGGGGCCCAGCACCTCTCTCCTGCCTCTGTGGGCACACGTACACATAACATGGACAGAAATAAAAGCAATTTTTTTTTTTGAGACAGGGTTTCTCTGTGTAGCTTTGTAGCTTGTCCTGGAACTTGCTCTGTAGACCAGACTAGCCTTGAACTCACAGAGATGCACCTGACTCTGCCTCCCAACTGCTGGGATTAAAGGTGTGTACCACCACCAAAATAGGAGCAAATCTTAAAGACTGGATTGACTACCAGGCAGTGGCAGCACACAGCTTTAATCCTAGCACTCTGGAGGCAGAGGCAGGCAGATTTCTGAATTTGAGGCCAGTCTGAACAGTCAGGACTACACAGAGAAACCCTGGAGAGAGAGAGAGAGAGAGA